CTCAAAGCGCTTTAACACTACGTGCCACATTTGACACATGGCGGAGAAGCCCGGTATCGAACCAACAACCTTCCGATTAGTGGACAACCCGCTTTGCCTCTGAGCAACAGCCGCCCTATGGAAACCCAAAGTGTGTACGAAAACTTGTGAATGCACAGAGTAGAGATGTTGAAAAGCAAGAGAGAAGAATATGTGAGCGAGTGTCCAAGGGCTTGGCAGCGCACAGAAGGTGTGCTCTTATGTGGATAATAGCAAATACTAAAATTCATACTAAAATGAAACAATTCTTTATGATAATTTCTCTACAAAATATAAGCTATGTGCATGCAATTTTGCGTGCTCTAAATGCCTGACTGTACATACAACAGAATTGAAGCAGAAATATAATCCCATATTGTTAGTTGTTTATCCCAATGCCTAAAAAAGTGGTCGTCTTCAGCAATGTAGATTCTCTGTCATTTGGTGATAAGAAATAACTTGCGAGAAGGCTTCCAGATTTTCTGGGCCACTGACTGACATCCCGCAGCCGCAATGACTCTAATGACATGCTTTAAGCACCACTTACCAGGAAAGGCTTGAGAACTACTGACACAGTGTGAAGCACTTTCAGATGCCAGAGATAAAGGCCAAGCTTCAACGGAGCATTTCACTCTCTGGGTATCACCTTCTCTGTTCAGAAGTGCTGTGCACTCCCAGGCATTCCCAGCATTCCTTGGTAAGGAGGCATGTAAGGAGAAAGGAACTACGGCACCTGCTCCAAACAATCTCAATAGCACCGCAGCCAGAAAACCCAGCTTTAACCCTGTGTTGAGCAGCACTCTCACCTGCTTTCCGCCCACCTTCACCCCCTCTAGGTGAGGAGAAACTGAAGCAGGAAGAAGAAGGAAGACTTCCCTAAGCTCCTAGCTTGCTGAGTCAAATATATTTCCATGTTTCACTCTCTCTTGTAAGAAAGAGATCCTTCCATTTCAAATAAATGTTTCAAACTCAACTGTTTTCAAAACATTTCTAACACCCTCTAAATTTTGGTACACAAAAGCAACAGAAGTTCCCTTTAGCTCAGAAAATGAAAGCCATGAATCTCTCTCTGCATTCATCCTTAGCCACCACTCTCTCATGTCTCTGCTATTAGGCTGCCTTGCCGCTGAATGCCTGACTCAACACATGCTCAGCCTCAAACAGAAATCATGTGGGTTTTATGCACTAATATTTCAACACAGTTGCCGCAGACAGTTAAGCGCAGGACTTTTCCCTCACATGCACCAACAGGTCTGAGGGTACACTAGACGGCTGCCATAGGAAGTACTGCTGTCACAAAAAGCCTGGTTGCAAAATGCCTTGCAGCAGACTTAACTAGCAGCAACTTTCTCTCAAAGGAAAATGCTAAGGCACGGGACTTTAAAACTTGAGCATTTGCAAAGGCCACAC